TAGTTGGCAATGTGTGGGTGTGGCTATACATGGTAGTTGGCAATGTGTGGGTGTGGCTATACATGGTAGTAGGCAATGTGTGGGTGTGGCTATACATGGTAGTTGGTAATGTGTGGGTGTGGCTATACATGGTAGTTGGTAATGTGTGGGTGTGGCTATACATGGTAGTTGGTAATGTGTGGGTGTGGCTATACATGGTAGTTGGTAATGTGTGGGTGTGGCTATACATGGTAGTTGGCAATGTGTGGGTGTGGCTATACATGGTAGTAGGCAATGTGTGGGTGTGGCTATACATGGTAGTTGGTAATGTGTGGGTGTGGCTATACATGGTAGTTGGTAATGTGTGGGTGTGGCTATACATGGTAGTTGGCAATGTGTGGGTGTGGCTATACATGGTAGTTGGTAATGTGTGGGTGTGGCTATACATGGTAGTTGGTAATGTGTGGGTGTGGCTATACATGGTAGTTGGTAATGTGTGGGTGTGGCTATACATGGTAGTTGGTAATGTGTGGGTGTGGCTATACATGGTAGTTGGTAATGTGTGGGTGTGGCTATACATGGTAGTTGGTAATGTGTGGGTGTGGCTATACATGGTAGTTGGCAATGTGTGGGTGTGGCTATACATGGTAGTTGGTAATGTGTGGGTGTGGCTATACATGGTAGTTGGCAATGTGTGGGTGTGGCTATACATGGTAGTTGGTAATGTGTGGGTGTGGCTATACATGGTAGTTGGTAATGTGTGGGTGTGGCTATACATGGTAGTTGGTAATGTGTGGGTGTGGCTATACATGGTAGTTGGTAATGTGTGGGTGTGGCTATACATGGTAGTTGGTAATGTGTGGGTGTGGCTATACATGGTAGTTGGTAATGTGTGGGTGTGGCTATACATGGTAGTTGGTAATGTGTGGGTGTGGCTATACATGGTAGTTGGTAATGTGTGGGTGTGGCTATACATGGTAGTTGGTAATGTGTGGGTGTGGCTATACATGGTAGTTGGTAATGTGTGGGTGTGGCTATACATGGTAGTTGGTAATGTGTGGGTGTGGCTATACATGGTAGTTGGTAATGTGTGGTGTGGTGTGGCTATACATGGTAGTTGGTAATGTGTGGGTGTGGCTATACATGGTAGTTGGTAATGTGTGGGTGTGGCTATACATGGTAGTTGGTAATGTGTGGGTGTGGCTATACATGGTAGTTGGTAATGTGTGGGTGTGGCTATACATGGTAGTTGGCAATGTGTGGGTGTGGCTATACATGGTAGTTGGTAATATGTGGGTGTGGCTATACATGGTAGTTGGTAATGTGTGGGTGTGGCTATACATGGTAGTTGGTAATGTGTGGGTGTGGCTATACATGGTAGTTTGTAATATGTGGGTGTGGCTATACATGGTAGTTGGCAATGTGTGGGTGTGGCTATACATGGTAGTTGGTAATATGTGGGTGTGGCTATACATGGTAGTTGGTAATGTGTGGGTGTGGCTATACATGGTAGTTGGTAATGTGTGGGTGTGGCTATACATGGTAGTTGGTAATGTGTGGGTGTGGCTATACATGGTAGTTGGTAATGTGTGGGTGTGGCTATACATGGTAGTTGGCAATGTGTGGGTGTGGCTATACATGGTAGTTGGTAATGTGTGGGTGTGGCTATACATGGTAGTTGGTAATGTGTGGGTGTGGCTATACATGGTAGTTGGTAATGTGTGGGTGTGGCTATACATGGTAGTTGGTAATGTGTGGGTGTGGCTATACATGGTAGTTGGTAATGTGTGGGTGTGGCTATACATGGTAGTTGGTAATGTGTGGGTGTGGCTATACATGGTAGTTGGTAATGTGTGGGTGTGGCTATACATGGTAGTTGGTAATGTGTGGGTGTGGCTATACATGGTAGTTGGTAATGTGTGGGTGTGGCTATACATGGTAGTTGGTAATGTGTGGGTGTGGCTATACATGGTAGTTGGTAATGTGTGGGTGTGGCTATACATGGTAGTTGGTAATGTGTGGGTGTGGCTATACATGGTAGTTGGCAATGTGTGGGTGTGGCTATACATGGTAGTTGGCAATGTGTGGGTGTGGCTATACATGGTAGTTGGTAATGTGTGGGTGTGGCTATACATGGTAGTTGGTAATGTGTGGGTGTGGCTATACATGGTAGTTGGCAATGTGTGGGTGTGGCTATACATGGTAGTTGGTAATGTGTGGGTGTGGCTATACATGGTAATTTACCACAGTGTAAACGTGATTGTATTGATATTAAATAATCTAAAATGGCAATAAATAAGATAAATTGTGCACTCATAACAACAGCAAAAATGAAGAAAGTCAAGTTCCATAACGTTTTCTTGTGACTGTCATCAGTGGAACGCCGTCACATAAAAATGTAATAACTAAAACACACACTTATATACATGTAGCTAATATGGTTTCAGGTAGAAATACAGCAGCTAACAAGTACAAAAAAGTCCCAGGCTGCCAGGTTAAGCAGGCCGAAGCGTGGGAGACCACGAAAACATCCGCTGCCTATTTCTACACCTAGCACGGCTCACAATTCGGAAACAGAAACACCGACTACTTCCATGGAGAACGAGCAGACTAATCTGGTTCCCCCCTCGGAAACCGGACCACGGCAAGGGAGGCCGCCGTACGGTCGCTCCTCAACAAACCATGTTGCTGCAACGGTAAGAGCGGAAGGGGAACAACTTGAAAACAGAACAGAACCGAGGAGAAGCAAGAGACTAGCAGAGGCACGACTGAGACAAGTGGAGAACACAAGGCAAGGAGACGCAGGAGGAAGCACAGGCATGGCACAGAACGAATCAAGGAGAGGGAAGCGGTGTCGCGAGGAGATGGAGACTGATGACGACGAATACGAGTGCGTTGGGATGGACGGCGGCATTGGAATGGAGGTGGAGGATGAGAGTAGTGATGAGGAGGAGTTTGATGTTGACAAGAGGAAGTCTGCAGTGTACAAGCATTTGGTGTCCAGTCCAGAATGTCGTAAGGTGTTTGACGATTCCTGGTTTAGTGTTATTCGTTGCGCACGTTTCTTCAAGCAACTGCAGGTGTTGGAAGCTGTGTATATTCGTACTCGTGACCCTGTGCTATGTAAACAGAAAGAAAACGTTGTATCACTCACACTCTTCAAATAATACACACGCACCATTACATTCATTCACACAGTATCACATTCATCTGCCACTACCTTTCTCACATACACTATATTCACACATTGCAAAGGTGCAAACTTCGCTTTTTGTACTTGTTAGCTGCTGTATTTCTACCTGAAACCATATTAGCTACATGTATATAAGTGTGTGTTTTAGTTATTACATTTTTATGTGACGGCGTTCCACTGATGACAGTCACAAGAAAACGTTATGGAACTTGACTTTCTTCATTTTTGCTGTTGTTATGAGTGCACAATTTATCTTATTTATTGCCATTTTACGACTATTGTCTCCTCGTCGATTGATTAAATAATCTACGTGGAGTTAAAAGTTTAATAATTGCTATGAAACGTATGAATGCCGCAGACATCACCACGCAACATGACAATTTGTTCAAGGTTTGGTTTTGTGTGTTTCCAAAATCGATTTTCAAGCTCCGATCATCAGTGGAAATACGGAACTAAAGTGATCAAGGGAAAAACAAAGGTTAAAAATCCAAAGAAGTGTGACACATGACGGGTAACTTGTGGTAAGTATTACAAAAAGTGAGAACTAAGATAAAGAGTAAGTGTGACAAATGGGCATGAACAATGCAGAAACAACTCATGAACACGAGGTGCAAACTCATGAAAATAACCTAAGTGCTAAAACATGTTCTTTTTTTGGATTTTTAACCTTTGTTTTTCCCTTGATCACTTTAGTTCCGTATTTCCACTGATGATCGGAGCTTGAAAATCGATTTTGGAAACACACAAAACCAAACCTTGAACAAATTGTCATGTTGCGTGGTGATGTCTGCGGCATTCATACTTTTCGTATTGATATTACATAATATATTTGAACTCGGATACTGAGCCAATAATAAAATGTAAAAAACAGAAGAAACACATGAGAACGAGTTACACATAACTCGTTCTCATGCGTTTCTTCTCTTTTTTACATTTTATTACTGGCTCAGTATCCGAGTTCAAATTTTGCACACCTGATGAGCCGTCACTAACAACACAGCGAAACGTACGTCGTGTGGAACTACTTGTTATTGTAGTCAACTCGTCCACAATAGTGTCATGCATGAGGAGTACCGTTAGATATTGGCGTCCGGTTTTGTACAATTCGTTTTCGCAAAGCTTCTCCTTTCCTTTATCTTCGATATTGCTGGCCCATCCAAGTTGGGTGGTGTGTTGCTTTGCTGCTTAAAATTGTAGTCAGACCGCTTTGTCATGTTATAAACTGGTCTCATCATCGTCCTGTAACAGTCGGCATTCTTTGTTGCCGCGGGACGTAGCTTGTGCACATTTTCGCTGCGCTCACCTTCCCCTCTTTGGTCCCACGTAACTATGAACCTTCCAAGTTGGAAGGATGTTGGTTTGCGCACTGGACATGTGTTAGAGCTAGGTCTCGGGTCGCTGAATGTCTCAGTGGCCTGTCAGTTTTGTGCCCTATTATCCAACTTTCTGACCGTTTTATCATCTCGTTACAGTCGTGGATAGTTGCTGCATAACTCGTTCTCATGTGTTCTCTTTCTTTACATAATATATTGATTATTATTTTTCAAGGATTCTCCAGAACCAAATGGATTCCTATCAAGGGGAGGCTCCTGGGGAAAGAAAGTGAAGGTGGCTGATATGAAAGAGGGAGGGCGGGACATGATAAAGTGAAAAATAGAAATAATGCAAACAGGAACAGTAGAAGCTAGTTGCAAAAGTTCGGTATACCTTGCACCGAATACTTGTGATTCAGATTGTGTCTACACACAGCAACAGTAAATCGGCCAGCAGATGTCAGACAGCGGATTTCTTCTGGCAGCTTATTCCAGTGTGTGTTGCTGTGTTTCAGGTATCCGTTCGGTGACAACATTGGTGAAGGATATTGTTACCAATGGAGCAAGAGTCCAGCAAGGATGAGAGCTCCAGCCGCCAATCACAACAACCTGCTGGTGGCACTGGTGAGCGAAATGATTGCTTTAGCTTATGGAGGAACAAAACTGTGGGACTTGATTTCAAGGGTCATTGCAGAGTCCACTGCTTTTATTGGCGTTCGGTTAGAGCAAGTCGGACATATTCATTCGTACGGCTCCATATGAGAGGCAGTGGAACTCGGATAAGAGGTACTGCCTCGGGAGTGGAAAAAAAACTTAGTAGAGAGATTCTGTAGAGCAAACGTTCGCATGGATTTTCGCGTCTAGGCTTGCGAATATTTCTGCGAATGTTCACGCAAAGTTTGTGTTTTCCATGATTTTCGCTCCAAACAAATACGAGTGCACTCATGCTTATTTGAGAAGCCGTCTTCGGTAGATCTACCGAGCTTCATCCGACTGAGAATTTATTTGCTACGAGTGGCTGCACCCTGAGACAAGAGCTTTTTGACTATGTTGTCGATAGCCGAAGACCCACAGACACACAGGTTGGCCTGTGCCGCAATCCGCCGCATCAATATCTGCAAATCCAGAAAAAGCATCACCGACTCTGAGAAAATGAGCAGATCGGATATCGGAGATGGTTACGGAGATGAAGCAGTGTTGGCTGCCATAATTATTGGAAAACCAGTACCAGCGACCAAGCCAAGAGTAGATCTTCTGGATTGTGAAAGATTAAGCACATACCATTGCATGAGAGTGGTTCGCCATTGCACTGCACTAGTCTGCAACCGTTTCGCCTTGTTGCTAGAGCCCTAGCAGCAGTACCCTGCCAAAGAGATAAAATAGACGCCTGGCAAAATGACTCCTGACTACAACATCATACATCCACATGCACACTTGCCTAGACAAAGACAGTTTGGGGAATGTCATTACAACTAACATCACTAGGTAGTTCTAGAACAGCCTGCGTGTCTGCAAGTGCCAAGGTGTGTGGGTATGTGTGATGCACTAAGTATGCATGTGCATGACAACACAATGCTTGCAATCCACTGCTCACTATTTTGCTTTCATATAGTGGTATTATGTTGTGCAGTTCACATGACAGACTTACTAAAACCTACCCCTAGTCAAGTTTGTGTACCAGACAGCAGTTATCTAGGTCTGCCAGTGCTGAACACACTTTACATATCGTCACTGCTATAACACTATTAGAGGCTGGCTGGCTTTGATGTAGATCAGTCCAACCTTTCGACCTAGGTCCAACAGATGGTGACTTTGCCAACAAGTGATTCATTAGTTTTCAAAGATGTCTTGTTGACAGATACATGTTTAGCAGAAGAAGATGCTGCGTTCCCTGTCCCAGTATTTACCTATACACCATGCAATCCCAGTATTTACCTACACACCATGCAATCCCAGTATTTACCTACACACCATGCAATCCCAGTATTTACCTACACACCATGCAATCCCAGTATCTACCTACACACCATGCAATCCCAGTATTTACCTACACACCATGCATTCCCAGTATTTACCAATACACCATGCAATCCCAGTATTTACCTATACACCATGCAATCCTAGTATTTACCTACACATCATGCAATCCCAGTATTTACCTATACACCATGCAATCCCAGTATTTACCTACACACCATGCAATCCCAGTATTTACCTACACCCATGCATTCCCAGTATTAACCAATACACCATGCAATCCCAGTATTTACCTACACACCATGCAATCCAAGTATTTACCTACACACCATGCAATCCCAGTATTTACCTACACATCATGAAATCCCAGTATTTACCTACACACCATGCAATCCCAGTATTTACCAATACACCATGCAATCCCAGTATTTACCTATACACCATGCAATCCCAGTATTTACCTACACACCATGCAATCCCAGTATTTACCTACACATCATGAAATCCCAGTATTTACCTACACACCATGCAATCCCAGTATTTACCTACACACCATGCAATCCCAGTATTTACCTACACACCATGCAATCCCAGTATTTACCTACACATCATGTAATCCCAGTAATTACCTACACACCATGCAATCCAAGTATTTACCTATACACCATGCAATCCCAGTATTTACCTACACACCATGCAATCCCAGTATTTACCTACACACCATGCAATCCCAGTATTTACCTACACACCATGCAATCTTACCATGTACAAGGAGACATTGCTTTTCCATGTGCTTATATTTGTACTGTAGCAATGGAAGCAGGATCTGAAGAGGAGAGTGAGGACAAGTATCAACCACCAGATCTGGCGGAGTACGGTGATCACTACTACTCAACCGATGCACCTCATCCAGACCTGGTGAGAGCATGTGAAGATGACGATGTGGAACAAGTCCGACAAACCGTGAATATCGGCACTCCAACTGAACCTGTGACTAGACCGGATCTCTTGGAACAAGTGCCGGAGTCATTTTTTGGAGACAATGATGATGACGAGGATGATGACGAGGATTGCAGAATTCCCATGACAATCATGGTAAGTCGGAAGTATCTCCTCCCTCCCCCCCCCCCCTCCCCAAATGAATGATGCTTTGCCAGTGTCGCACCAAAGCAATTTTCAACTCTCAAACTATGTTCAACTTGCAATGAATTTCAGCGACTTTTAGCGGTGCATTAGTTTAGGGCTGCAACGGGTAGGGGTTTTGTCGGGTAACGGGTCCAGGTATAATATCCGGGTAGCGCGGGTACTCTATCGGGTATTTTTGACACAGTTTGCAGTTTTTGACACAGTTTGCAGTTTGCAGTTTGCAGTTTTTGACACAGTTTACATAGAAATTGTACAGTAGCATGTACAGTCATGTTGCCATGCTGTTTACATGCACCGTTGCAAAAACACTGTACTCCAACCACCCGATCGGGTTCTCAGGAGAAAAAATGGATACCCTACTACTTCCTCTGGAAACAAAAACGTAGTGACATTTTGACATTACTTTTCAAGGAGTTACTGAACTCAACAAAAGTTTTCTTTTGGAAGAGAAACACTTCAACACATTCAATCGACATATCTACAATATCTACAGGATCGATTAGTGGGAGTAGAGTCTCAGTCTGGGTCACCATCGCTCAAATCATCACCGCTGAAACCGTTCCAAGTGGCAGGTCGATTAACGCGATGTCGTATGTCACGAAGCTTCTCCGCGTCTCTGATCGTCTTCGCTGTTACCTGGATGCCTTCTCCAACATCTCGGCAGAGACCACGGTAGCGCTGTAGCGCTGGTACTCATTACCACCTCCGCTCTCGCTCGAGGATGCCCCGGAACAACAAACACAGGCACGCCAAACATTTCAAATTTCCTCCGAGGGATATAATAGTCGTACCGGCACTTCCTGGCTGCCACGATCAGATCTAACCTTCTCAACGATGTGTCGACCAGAACACGTTGTTGAGGCTGCTAGAAAAGGCGAGATCATCCAAGTTGAGGTCTGGGCTCTGCAGTGGCTGAACGGCTTCTATTTTGAAATTGTTCATATTGCTTTGCTGCGCGAAGTGACGATTGTCACATCTCTGCGTTTTGGAGTTTTGACATCTTACCGACCTGTTCGCATGCAGACAGGCGTTTCGGGGATTTCAAAGCTATTCATTTTCTACTCTTCTTGCTCGTTAGTGCCATTGTCCTGCTATGTCAAGTTTTGAACTAAAAAATAGCTACGACGAGCAATGAGCGCAGTGCTTTTCTTCCCGTTGCGCCTGATGGATGAACATGAAAAAACACGTTTGCTTAGCTTTGTTTGCAGCGTCAACACCCTTGTTCTGCGACGACTGTCGGCTCTCCAAAATATGAATCATGCTTTCCTACAATAACAAGGTAACTACAGCGACATTTAGTTAATAAGAGTCACGAAGATTTTGCTTCAGGAGGAAATACCGATCAAATTACGGGTAGCATGGGTACCCTACTACTCGTTGACACCCCTACATTAGTTACATTCAGAGTACATAGCCACTAAACCAACGGTTCTGTCCTGAGAGAGTTCAAAGTTGACATCATCTTTATGATACAAAGCGTGTAGTACATGTCTCGTCCTGTACCTGTGGAGGACATAATAACATTATGATCCCATGTAATGCGTTAACAGACGGTGAATACGTTGTAAATCACTCGCTAGAGAACTATTGCATCATACAATATTGTTGGCACAGCAATGTATCTGGAAGGTGCACACCGTTTTAACGGATGTTATGCTTTTCGTTACAGTCCTTATTTTTCTGAGAAACAGAAATCAGATAGAAAAAAATACATAGAAAGATCAGAAGTGTATTCGCAATCACTTGAAGCGTCCTAGTCAAACAAACATTGGCACACAGCACTGTGTTGCTAAACTCAAACTCTTTCCTGTGGGAAGAATAATGTGACCCTGGACTTCTAAATTCATTTCCTTCTAGTCACTTGCCATGATGGCTAACTTTTTCAACACACCGAGTTACCAACGAATGTCTGATGTTCCACCGACCGGGATAGTGAGACAATGAATTTTCAAGCTTTGAAAACTCACACGGCATGACCATGACTACCATCTTGAGCACACAAGGGGCATATCCTTCGTAAGCTGAGCTTGAGGAGGCTTATGGACTATTTGCTTTCACTCACATAGCAACCGGTTTGTACATGGGGTAGTGGTCTACCCGAGAATGTACTCACGAGTAGTACTAGTGGTCTACCAGAGAATGTATGTGGGTAGTGGTCTACCAGAGAATATACGTGGGTAGTGGTCTACCAGAGAATGTACATGAGTAGTGGTCTACCAGAGAATGTACGTGGGTAGTGGTCTACCAGAGAATGTAAGTGGGTAGAGGTCTACCAGAGAATGTACTTGGGTAGTGGTCTACCAGAGAATGTACGTGGGCAGTGGTCTACCAGAGAATTCACTCCGTGTACCGTATTCCACACTCGCAGCCACACGCTAGCGAAAAACAAGGCAAGAAAGTAATAAAGAGCAAGCCGGCCAGCAAGAGAGATGTCAGTGCAAGACACGGGCAGAGCAATGGCACGGTGTGGGTGCCTGGGCAGCAGGGTAGCACTTGAAAATCCGTCTCCCTAAATTTCCACCCATGACCGCTAAACCGGGTTGGCGGAAAACTTGCCTTGCCGCCAAAAAACTCTTCTACTAATATGGGACCTGCCCCACTGCCAGTCACAACCAAAAAGCAGAAGATAAGCAAGTGGAAGAAAGCAATCATACAAAAAATGCTGAGCCCCTCGGGACAGAAACACAGCATGCGACATGCCATGGAAAACAAGAAAACAGCGGACAAAACAAGCAAAAACGCACAGGACCCAAGGGTGGGTGGGTGGTAAAACTCAAAGGTAACATGAGGAACACAGGACCATGTCATAACATGTGGCAACTGAGCACTACTAGCAAGGCTCGAGCTTCGTGATTCGCAGGCTCACACGTTCATCCCCATCCACTGGGGGGGGGGGGGGGGGTCCCTCTGCCACTCTCCTCGCCGGCGCATATTCCTCATCCTCAGTCTGTGGCCACCCAATTTGCCGGAGTTACAACTGGACCAGATGCCAAGGGGAGTGTGGGAGAGCTCATAGTAATGTCAAGGCCGCCACCCAAAAATTGGCATGCATGACCAGCTCCTCCAGCAACTGGCCTAGCACATCAGCTCCACCCGCCTAACTAACGGTCAGGAAGATTCCGACCCAAGCATGGCGGGGCACCACGCCACTAGCTCGGCTTTGAAGCAGGCATGTGAAGACAGTAGTACCACGCAGTTTCTCTCACTCATCATACCAGCCAGCCCTGTTTTTGATTCCAATATGCCATTTATTCACACGCCCATCGATGTTGTCAGCTTAACTAGACTGCTCACTGATCATTTAGGCAAGGCATTCTCTTCCTGCATTAGCAGGGGCTTACAATCTGGATTCAACATAGCCTTAGGCTTCATGGGTCGCCGTCAGACTGTGACGGACTCAAATCTTCCCTCATGTACTGAACATTCCGTGTACATAGCAGAGTATCTGGCAACATCCTGTGCACAAGGAGAGACCCTTATTCCATCCCTCCATTTCCATCATTCCAGTACTCAGGCATTGGCATGGTGCCCAAGAAGAATGGTAAACTACGCATTTCCCACCATTTATCAGCTCCCATTTGCAAAAGCGTTAACGATGGCATCGACCCGTCCACGTTTAGCCTGTCTTATATCCAGATTGAAGACGCAGTGCAAACAATCATGGCCTACGGGCAGGGTGCATTGCTGACACAGCTGGACATCCGCAATGCATTCCGCATTCTGCTCATCCCTGTGCACCCGCCGAACTGGTCTCTACGTGGTATTCAGTGGCAAAGAAAATTTTACTTTGATCGAGCGCTGCCTACGCTTCAGCCCACACAACGCAAACTCGACCACTTTTGGGAAACCCTCCTTTGCGTCAAGCATCGTCGCACTAGGGAGAACATTTACACGGCGCTTACGGCATATCCATAAGAGTTTAGCATATCCCCGAAGCGCTGTCTAGTTTCAACCTGCAATCATTCCTTCGGCTGGCGCCATCAGCACGGCAAGCCCCAGACACTGCGATCTGCTTCCCACTCCTGGACTGATGCGGAAGGTTGCGGACCTGGCAGCCATGGCAATCGGTCTGACAGCACTGCGCACATACACCGCTTGCAAAAGGAAATTTACGCAAATATGTGCGTAGGGGAGAAGGATGCCCATGCCGGCTACGGACATAATGCTCAGCTGCTTCGCAGCACACTTCCCACAACCGGTGAAACAACGGACAATTCATGTCTACATGGCCGTAGTGCGCAACACGCATCTCGAAGCCACACCACAACCTTGCCTGGTTGCGCCATGCTGACATATCTGACTGCCTATCCACATTATACCAATGACACCCTCTTCCTCTACCACTATGGGAGACTCCTGACTAGGCAGGAGCTGACAGAAGAGGTACGACAGCTTCTTCCACTCATGGGTCATCCCATACTCGTGATTACGCTGGTCATTCGTTCCGCATCGGTACCGCCACTACTGCAGTCATGGCGAGTACCCCTGACTGGTTAATCAGGTCAATGGGCCGATGGAGGAGCAAAAGTGTCCTGTGCTACATCAGGACGACCGACACAGACATGGCGCAGCTGACCCAACAGCTGTTCGAGGTACAGGCACATCGCAGAACACAATGAGGTATGTAAGAACCCGCCACGTGAGCACACAACTCACACTGATGTATGTACCCACACACTTACTTAGACCAACTGCCGATTGTTTGGAACAGCACAGCAATTTGCTCTGCCAAGATTGTGCTGATAGCAACAACAGCGTCATTCACGTGCATTGCAATATGTCACAACTTAGCATGGAGGCTGGGCAAACATCAGCAAGCTACCTCCTCTCATCTGGCAATCTACCACGACCTTCGGCGATCACACTCATACGCCCACACTCCTGCCCTCTAACGGGCATCACACTTTGTGCGTGGGCCGTCTACACTCTGTCCATTTCATGGGCGCCCA